AGGCATCATGGAATTCAAATTGTTTGCTTGGAAATTGCAGATCTCGTGGTGGTCTTGTGATGCATAGTTTGTAAAGCACGGAACTTGTACGCCCCCAGTAAGTGATTATCACACTGCTGGAGGGTATACAAAATGGTATATAAGTTGGAAGGAGTCCAAATAAAATTTGGCTCCAGTCCTGATCAGACTGTTCCCAGAACAACTGCCTCCGAGTGGTCTTCTCGCCGTCTCCTGATTCTCCGGTGCGGGTCCTAACCCACCCTTGGTCAGTGCTGGTCACCGACAGCTGACTGCTACTTTCAAGACAACCTGAACGGAACCATCTTTCATCAACTCTAGTGTTGGCACCCCAGCCCAAAGTATCATTTGCCATCAACTGGACAATCACCGTAGTTTCCTGATTGATATTCTTTCCAATCTTGCCTTCCTAGAGTTCTTTCTCAATATAGTAACCAAACTGACTTTGTTTATATCCCACCATGGCTTCTCTTTGTACTTACAGCTCAAAGGCCTTATGCTGCCCATGAAATCCTACAGAATCTGGTCCCACCTGTTCTCAGATGTCCTCACTTATTCTCTACCATACTTCACTCTGCTCCAGTGAAACATATCCTCTTGCCACTCCTCAAACATGGTAGGTTCAGACTCACAACAGGGTCATGACACTGACTCTTCCTTCTGTGTAGAATATATTTGTATATCGTTCTACAGCTGGCACCTCATCATGCAGGTCTCTGCTCAAATGTCACCACCCCAGAGAGACTTTCCTCACCTCTTGACAACAGCTACCTACTTTCTTCCCTGTTTCAATTGTCTTCATAACATCTATTGCTATTTAAAATGTTAAATTTATTATCTCTCTTCCACTCCAAACTATAATCTCAAGAGGGCAGGAATAATATTTATCTTGATTATTATTTTATCTTAAATAATTGCTATGATAGGATATGATTGTACAGAAAGAGTTAACATAGCAGACCTGAAACAGCTACCGTCAAAAAGGCCTCTTACAAGGATGACCCTTGTCTGGCATCTGGGAACTTAAATGGGGAACAGTTTTCTATACTGAAGTAAAACTTTCTCTAAATGATAGGAGTGACTCATTGTACCCTTGACCATTTTTTGTTTGTTGGTGCAAACAACGCAGTTTAAGCTGAATACCTGCTTTCCTTCCAGGAGTCTGGAATTTTAGCAAGTGGTAGGCAGAGAGCACCTAGGTGATTTAGTGACCTCCAAAGACTGTAGTCACTGAATCTCTCATGAGCTTTTCCAATAGACTGCATTTCCTACCCGCTGTCACAATGCAGTGATGGTAGAATTAAGCGCATTTTGTGTGACTCCACTGGGAGATGCCTCTTGGTGGCTTGTACCTGGTTTCCTCTGGACTGTGCATTTTCCTTGTGTTCTTTTTGCTTTGTATCTTTTCACCATAATAAATATCATCCACAAGGACAGCTATCTGCTGAGTCATTTAGGTAATCCTAGCAAGTCACTGAACCTGGGGTGGTTTGGGGACCCTGGACATAGCAAACAAGAAGCTTACTCGGTCTGCCCAGTTGAAAGTAATCAAATAGAAAGAAAAAGCATATACAAATTTCTACAACATGGCAATGAATCTGATGTGAAAGTCAAGCCCAGCCTTCTGAAGTATATTACCCATGCCATGAAATCCGTTGACTACTTACGTGACTGGTCTGTAGATCTCCTTTACACCAATGAACTGAAGTTGTTCCATAATGTCTGGAATACTTGCACATCGGGTAAGATTAATTCTTGGATAATAAAGAAGGTATGAGAGACACATTTCACTCCTGGTGCTTAGGCCTCCCTGAAAAGAGAAATAGTTCCTTTAGCAATGTATGTGTTCTACAAACCTTGACACATACACAAATCATCATGTCACACAGTTCCTTCTAGTATTAAAATTTAATAAATTTTAAAACTGAAAAGTAAAGCAATTTAAATGACAATTTGGCTTCCTAAAGAGTAGTAGACACATTTTAAAATTAATTTTCATCTCTTTTGAAGTTGCCTTTCTTAAATAATCTCCTTAAAGTTTTGCTGATAGGACGTAACCTTCTCACCACAGTGAACATTTCAAAGAACTATAAGCATGATTGGTTAACATAATACCAGTCAATCATTTCAATAAATTTTTTTTCTGATTAAATTGATTATATTGTCTATAATCTTGTCTTCATGTGTAAAAACATTAGCAGCTATATACTGCAGGGAAAAAGGATTTCACAGCTTGAATCTAGGTAATTATCTTCTAAATTTAGAAAATATCAAAGAACTTAAAAAAAAACAGGATCCAAAATGATGCAACATATTATCTACTATGCCTAATTTTCAACCAAAAATTATCAGACAGAAAAGAAACAGGAAACTATGATCTGAACTCAAGGGAGAAAAAAGTCAGTAGAGAAGATGTATTGTGAGAAATTCAGATGCTGAATTTACCAGACAAAAACACAAAAGCAAATATAAATATGATCAATAAACTGTTTTAAAAAGAATTCAAAGAATTTAAAAAATATATGTTCAAGTAATTAAAGGCAAATATATTAAAAATGAGAGAACAGATAGGGAATGACATCATAGAAAGGAAAAAAATTTTGAAAATAGAAATTTTAGAGCTGAAAGGTATCAAAACTAAATAAAAAATTAACAGGAGGAGCTCAACAACAGATTTGAGATGACCAAGAAAGTTATTCGTGAACTTGAAGATTAAGCAATAGAAATTATTGCATTCATAGAACAGAGAGAAAAAAATACCACAGGTGAGTAAAAAAATCTCAGACATCTGTGGGACAATATTAAATGTCCTGGCATGTATGTCTTACACATATGTATGTTAATGTATACATGTATGTTAATACATGTAATTAGAGTTCCAGAATGAAAGGAGAAGACAAAAAATAGAGAAAATATTTGAAGAAATAATGGCTGAACTCATCCAAATTTAGTGAAAAATATTAACTTACAGACCCAAGAAGCTTGTCAAATGCCAAAGGTAAATACAAAAAGAGCCACACCTAGACACATCATAGACATACTCCTGAAAGCCAAAGACAGAGAAAATCTTGAAAGCAGCAAGAGAAGAATGACATAACACATAGAGGAAAACAATATTCCAAAGGACAGCTGACATTTCACCACAATTGATGAAAGTAACAAAAGATCTTAGAATTATATATTCAAGTGTTGCAGGGGAAAATAAACTGTCAACCAAGAATTCTGTATCCAGCAAATCTATGCAAAAATGCAGGTGAAAAACTTAGTTCATGCTCCTGATTGCAAATTAATGTAGTGGCTAATATGCAATAATTTTACTAATTGTAAAAATATGATGTCTTTCACTTGCAAGCAAGGCAGGATTAGGCAAAGGGAGAAGCTAATCTACAAATTAGGTTGCAGCTAATGTCTCAGGAAATATTACATTTAATCTATCCTTGAGCTGGGATGGCCATTCAGAGTTAAACAAAATGGTAGGAAGAAGGGTGGGGTTTTGTAGCCTCATTGCAACTAGTCATTGGCTGCTGGCTGTCCCACTGAAGAGAGTATAACTTTAAGTGAATCATTTTCTGATACCACTGGAATTTCCAGTGAGAGGCACAGCTTTGAGCTATCATTTTACCATCTGATGATCTCAAAGGCTAGGGTTTGGCTGTGTTAGCTCTGAAGAAGGTATGAAGGCAGTGAATCAAAATATCGATTTCAGTAATGACTCATTTATTATGTCTATAGTAAAATATTTCATGCAAACAAAAATCACATGTAAAGCATGAGAAAAAAATAAAACCAACACTAGTGTGATAACTACATCCTAAGTGCCCAACTTCAATCCCTCTTTTTCCTGCTCCAACCAAAGATGATTACTATCTTAAAATTTTACCTTTCTGTTGCTTTTCAATTACATTTTACATTCAGTATATCGAAGTGTGCATCCGTAAGCAATATATTATTTAATTGCCTATGTTCTTGAACTATACACACATAAAATCACACTACATATATTCTTCTAGAAACTTGCTAATTTCAGCCAGGATTGGTGGCTCAGCCTGTAATCCCGCGCCTTTGGGAGGCTGAGGTGAGTGGATTGCCTGAGTCCACGGGTTCAAGACCCGCCTGGGCAGCGAGACCTCATCTCTACAATAAATCAAAAAATCAGCCGGGCGTGGTAGCGCGCATCTGTAATTCCAGCTACTTGGAAGGCTGAGGCGGAAGGATCGCCGGAGCCCAGCAGGTCGAGGCTGCGGTGGCCGGGAGCGGCCACTGCACTCCAGTCTAGGTGACAGAGTGAGATTCCAACTCAAAAAAAAAAAGAAACTTGCTAATTCAATCAACATTTTTTGTTTTTCAGATATATTCATGTTAATATATGTAACTTTAGTTAATTAATTTTCATAACTATACACTGACTCATTATATGGATATATTATAATGTTTTCATTTATTCTCTTTTTGATGGGTATTTGAGCTGTTTCCAGTTTTCTCATTCATGTGTTATTACTTGTTACTGTGAATATTTTACATATTTCTCTCCTGGAACACATTTTACAAAAGTAACTGCAAGGCTAACTCTGCAAAGAAATTGAATTGAATAGAGCACATATGAATCTTCAATTTTACCAGATAATGCCATGCTTTTTCCCAAAGTGATTTTATAAATTTAAATTCCCACTAGCAAAGCATGAGTTTTCCTGTTTTAGTACAATTGAATTGCAATTTTAAATATAGCCGAATTGGTGAATATAAAATATCTCTTTCTGGTTTATGTTTGCATGACCCTGGTTTTAAAAAAAATTGAGCATCTTTTCATATGTTTATTACTTATTTGGGTTTTCATTTCTGCAAAGTGTTTTTGTCTTATTCCCTTTTTAATGTATGTTTGTCTTCTGTTACTGATTTATAGAATTTCTTTTATAAGCTATATACTAATGCCCTGCCAGTCTATGTAATGTAAATATTTTCTTAAGTTTAAAACTTGTCTTTTTACTCTCTTAATAGTGTCTTTGGTAACCAAAAGCTTTAAGGTAGTCTAATTTATCAGTCTTTTATTCATAGTTTGTGCTTTTTATGTTTTCTTTAAGAAATTCTGAACTACTCCAAGTTCATGAAGATATATTGAAATATTTTTCTTCTGGTAGTCTTTAAATTTTGCTCTGCACATTTAAATATGTACTATGTCTGGCATGGATTTTGTGAGATCAAGACCCAATTTTATTTTTGTCATATGGATACCAACTGTGACAAAATTCTTTAATGAAAAGTCAGTTCTTTTCAACTTATCTGAATGTTTTGTCCATCATAAACCAAATTTCCATATGTGGAATTTGTAGGTGTGTTTGAGTTCCTTATTCTGTTCCACTCTCCTAAGCCTGAACTCAAACCACACTATATTGATCACTACTATTTCAAAATAAGCCTTCATATCTAGAAGTTTGTTTCTCATCTTGTTCTTTTTAGTTGTGTCTTGTCTTGTCTTTTTTTTTTTTTTTTAAGTTGAAATCTCACTCCATCACCCAGGCTGGACTGCAGTGATATGCTTATGTCACCCCAGGGTCGACCTGCTGAATTCAGGTGATCCTTCCATCTCAGTCTTCCAAGTAGCCAGAACTACAGGCGTGGGCTACCACATCTGGCTAATTTTTTGATTTATTGTAGAGATGAGGTCTTGCCAAGTGGCCAGGTTGTTCTTGAACCTGTGGGCTCAGGCAATCCTCTCATCTTGGTCTCCCAAAGTGCTGGAATTACAGGCTTGAGCCACTGTGCCTGGTCATCTATTTTTAACTCTTTGATCTTCTATGTAAATTTTAGAATTAACTTGTGGCATGCAGAAGCTAAAACTGTAAAATTTTTATAAACATGAAAAATAGAAGAAGAAAATCTTTGCAGCCACAGCTAGGTAAAGATTTTTTAAGTTAGAATACCACAACACCAAATCATGAAATCTCTGAATACTTTTTCCTGGAATGATATCTTATTTATGAACCAATTTAAACAGAAGAATGTTCTTCATTTTACTGAGGCTTTCTATCCATAAACATGGTATCTCTTAATTTCTTTAGGCATTCTTTAATGTCTCACAATAAAGATTTATATAATTTTTAATAGAGATTAAACACAACTAATATTAGATCTTATTTCTATATAACTTATAATTTTAAGTTGTGTTTTCTTGAGACAATTTCTTATACACTAAAATGCAAATTTTTTTTTTTGATTGAAGTCTCACTGTGTTACCCAAGCTGGAGGGCAGTTGCACACTCATGGCCACCGCAGCCTCAACCTGCTGGGCTCAGGTGATCCTTCTGCCTCAGCTTTCGTAGCAATGAACACAGGTGTTTAAATAAAATTTTGGTGAGGAAAAACTAAGAGATTAAAGATAGCTTTTCATGCAAGAGTCAGTGACTTACACTGCAAGTGTTACTATAGTATCATTAGCTAATTTGAAGCCTTATAAAATGCTAAAACAGCTGATTTCACTTTTATGACACTTGATGCTCAAGACTTTTAGAAATTTTGTTTCCAAATGTGAATGTTTTTCCCTTTTTTCCACCTAAAATCAAGTTTATTCCTTCCTCTTCATAAATGAACTTCAGTAATAATAAAACTTTTCTTACCCAAGTCATCTCGGCTCTGTCTTTTGTGTTGTATCGACATTCAGTAATTAGGTTATCTCCCTAAAACATAAAAATAAAAGCTTTCAGCTTAAAATTTTGTAACGTTTCATTCATCAAATTTATTTGTAGGCCAACAGTAGATATTCGCTCTATCAATGGATGCATCAAGTAATTTGATTATGGAAAAGACCTTTAACTCTAGGTTTGCTAGTACAACAAGCAAGCAAATAAATAAAGCTCCCTGGGTCCAAGCCAGACTTCACAATATTCTAGCTTGATGATCTAGGTAAGAAACGGAACATCTGGGCACAATTTGTTCATCTAAAAAATAATGATAAAAATAGCATTTATTTTTTGCACAGCTGTTGTGAGGAGACTAAACAACATAATACATACGCAGTCCTTAGTAGAGAATAATCACGCAATAAATGTCAGCCATAGATAGTAGTATGGTCATCACCTCTTCACTGACATTATTTTCCTTAAAGCTCTCTAGTTATGTCACATTTATTCGTTAATATTTTTGACTCAGGGTCTCACTCTGTCACCCAGGCAGGAGTGCAGTAGCACAATCACAGCTCACTGCAACCTTGCTTTCCTGGGTTCGGGTGATCCTTCTGCCTCAACCTCCTAAGTAGTTGGGACTACAGGCTCAGGCCACCGTGCCTGCCTATTTTCAAAAAATTTTTTGCAAACACAGGGTCTCGCTATGTTGCCCAGGCTGGTCTCAAACTCCTGGCCTCAAGCAACCCTCCTGCCTCAGTCTCCCAAATTCTGGGATTACAGGCATGAGCCACCACCACCATCCTGTCGTTATTTATTTATTTATTTTTTACAGCAGAATTGTGAGGCAAATTAGTATTAATTTATTGTGCCAGTGTTTTCCAATATTTTGAACATTTCAGTACACATAGAAGATGATAATATCTTTATGGATCCTCATTCAGGTAAGTGGATGAAGCTATTCATGGATCAGAGGTAGTCAAAACTGGGCTTTAGCCTCTATATTTGCTCTCCCTGACCCACTATTCAGAGGTCCCAGACATCAGTATCTCAACACACATGCCCTGACCATGGCACACCAGTTAGGAAGCTCTGAGGTAACACTGTTAGAAAAGTTTTGAGGCAACATAAGAAAAGGGAGTATAGTCCTTAAGAATCTTGACGAGATCACTGTTTCTCAAACTTCATCTTTCTACTCTCAAGGTAAAACAGAGGATGTCTGAAAGGAATATAGATCTGAAACCGTGAATTAAAGGGATCGTTATTAGAAAAAAGAACACCACTCTCCTCTTCATAACTTCTTTCTGTTTGTTCACCTTTCCCTTTACATCATATTGTGCTATGTCTTCTCCCTGACAGTCCATCCCATCTAAAAACTCTGTCCCTGGCATCATGTAGAAAAGATATCATTACTTTCATTTAATAAGTAGTACAAGAATCTGACTTTTGAGAGGGGAAAAAGGGTAGAAAATTTTATTATTGTTGAACTTGATGGTCATGTAATTTACAAGGCTGAGAAAACAAAGCATCATAATTTTTTTTAAGCCTCTTTTGTTGTAAGGCATGATTCTCTTCTCTCCATTACCATGACCCCAGGTATTGTTTTAAGCTGGATCACACAGCATAGTATAATTAGCTATGTCCAAATGCCTCTATCAAATTTAAAAATTATCCTTATACTCATTTTCACTGAAATAAAAAAATCTAAAAAAAATCCTGTCTCTTCAAGATAATGTAAAGAAACCTCTGATTTCACCATGATTGTATTGCAACCCAAAGGATCACAAACTGAAACGCCAAGTTTATGAAAAGCTAATGTTAGTGCTCAGAACCTGTGGGGGGTTTTTTTGGTTTTGTTTTTTCAATCAACAACTGGAATTGCCTCTGGGAATAGTAAGAAAAATGAGTTTCCCAATTTTGGGAAACACATCAAACACATTCCCTCTGGCTTGTGCAACACCCATGGTGGGTGGCTTTAATAATACAAATACAAAGAACAATTCATTTCACTAGTGGAAACCTCGCATCTCAGCAGACATAGATCTCACGACTTTTATGGCATTTGATGAAAAAGAGCAAAAACACGCATACTGGTAAAATTGTTCTTTCTTCCTTTAGGTACTGAAACTCCTGGAAATTGAAGTCAAAATCATCATCATAGGCGAGTAATTTCATCTCCTCCCCTTTGCGAAAATGACGCAGCCTGATGCCTCTGCCAGCCAGGTGAGCATGGAGAAGAACAGCAAACACGTGGATTCCACTTGGCTTTTCAGCTTCCAGAGCCTGCAGGGGACACCGAGGAAGACCTGATTAGCCCAAACAAGTGCATGTTCAGACAGTTCATGCTCAAGCACACTTGGAGGGACAACTGAGAAGAAAAGCTAAAGCAACTGAGGTGAATTGCCAAACAGTTTGAATTTGTGCTGTTCAGTGTTCTCTTTGTGAAGAAACATTTGTCAGGTGAAAAGAAACGGAACTGATGCTTACGAGGAAACTGCCAGATCATTCCTAAAGACTACCTTGCTTTTTCCTTCTTTTAGGTGGTAAAAAGGAAATCAACGCCCCTGGCAAACAGATTCCAGGATGTTAGTAAGTGAAAATCCAAACTCTTAAAAGGAGAAAGTATTCCCTCTTTTCCAGATAAGAAAGCCAAAGTGGGCCAATAGGATGAAATGAATCACCAGTAAATCATGCCAGGGCAATTTGAATCATGGTCTAAGTAGCTCAGAAGGGCATAATCTTTCTACTTCACCAGTCTGCTATACTGTCCACAACCACCAATATCCTACAGTTCATAAAGAACATGATCCATGTTGAGATATTTTCATTAAAAAAATTATAAAATGAAAGCAGTTATTATTAAATATTTATACTTGCTTTTCTCCTAGCCAGTATGTACTTCTTATTATTATTTATTCTTGCTCTTGGGTGAAAAGGAAGAACTACACATCAGAGAAAAGAGAAAAAAATGAAAATGAATGATGGGAAAAATAAATATGGATAAAAGGCAGAGGAAGGAAAAAGAGATCACACAAAGGTAGAAATGGCAAAATACGGCCGGGCTTGGTGGCTCAGCCTGTAATCCCAGCACTTTGGGAGGCCGAGGCAAGAGGATTGCCTGAGCCCGCAGGTTTGAGACTAGCCCGGGCAACTTGGCAAGACCTTGTCTCTATAATAAATCAAAAATTAGCCGGCCATGGTAGCATGTGCCTGTACTTCCGGCTACTTGGAAAGCTGAGGCAGAAGGATCGTTGGAGCCCAGCAGGTTGAGGCTGCGGTGGCCGGGAGCATGCCACTGCACTCCAGTCTTGGCAACAGAGTGAGTCTCACAGAGTGAGACTCCAACTTAAAAAAAAAAAAAAAAGAAATGGTAAAATACAAAGCATGCAACACACAACAAAGGAGGCAGGAGTATGAAGAAAAACACCCTTTCTACTCTTTATGGCTTCAAAATTCTACTTCTGTAGCTCTCAAGATTTAAAAAGCAGTCAAAGATTCTCCTGAAATTACAATAATGGTTTCACAACGTGTTGGCAAGAAAAGGATCATTGATAAATGGAGGCTGGGGTCAGGTGCCGTGGCCCTGGACTCTGTCAATCAGGCGGGCCTCCAAGGCTGGCTCCCAACCGATCAGCAAGCATTAAGTTTTTCACACCACGGTTTCTAACAGCATTGATGAATCTGCGGATGGCAGCTCACAGACTCAGGCACTGCCTACCTCTTCTAGGCATTCCAGAGTGCAGTGGCCTTCAGTCCGGAACTCAGGCATTCCTGGAGGGATGGTGTGAAAGAGGCTCACCCAGAGGCCAGCCTCGATCACCCCGGCATCATAGTCCCTTGTATCCATTGTATGAAATAACCTCAGTCCAGAATTATCTATTAGGCCTGGAGCAAAAACACATCATTCAAAGTGAGTATGAGTTCTTAACAAAGTTTTCACATTCAGTTGAAAGGAGTTTATTAGTTTTCTTTAAACTCTTACAGGGGAAAGGAATACAAGCAGAGATTATTGGAAGACAACATTCAGCTTCATAAACAGAAATTGAAACATGAGTAGCCACATTGCCTACAACCATTGTGGACTCACACAGTATGCCACAGGAGAAATGTTTGGGCTATCCAGCTGTGAAATTCCACAAGTATCTAACATGAAGACAGAATGAAAATTCTAAAGTCATTCATTAGAATATAGAGCAACTCAGTAAAGTTTTCATTTCATATGGTTTTGAGGTAAAGTTCAATAATAGCACTTAGAGGTAAAATCCCTTGGTATAGAAATGATCTATTGATAGGCAAAACTACTAAAGATCAATTTTCTTTCCTTATAATTTGTCACCATTCTCTTATTCATTTAATAGTCATTCAACCAACAAACCCAAACCATTATTAAGAATCAGTTATATAAACACTACCACATTAAGTGTTGTGAGAATGAAAGATCAATAAGACATACTTCTTGCTATGAAGTATTTATTATAAGGAGGGAGAGTATAAGCCCCAAACACTTCATAAATCCACTTCACTAATTGAAATTAATTAACTCTCTTCTGCGATGGTGACATATCTACCTGTGACTGTCAGATTGATTCTTTCTCCTTATTTTGCTTTCTCATCTCCTTTAAATCAATCAGCTTAATCCATTAAGAATATCTTAATAATTAAGATCTTCTTAAACACCAAGGTCTTTATTTTATTTATTTATTTATTTATTTTTTGAGTGGGAGTCTCACTCGGTCACCCAGACTGGAGTGCAGTGGTCGCTCCCGGCCACCGCAGCCTCGCCTGCTGGGCTCCGGCGATCCTTCTGCCTCAGCCTTCCGAGT